GAACAAATATTTAAAAAGTGGGTAAAATCTACTTATATAATTTGACTTATTTACATAAATCTCATTCATAGAAAATAGTAATTGAAGACTCTTGCCTTTTATCTTTCAAAAATAATGTGATATATTAACCTTTAAATTTGATTCTCAAATCTTAACCTTAGGGTTCTCTTTCATGTTTCACTGGAAGAGACTCAGACCCAAACACTTTACAATCATATTTTACAGTTCCTTTAGAGTAAGAGCATAATCATTATTGACCTCTTGACTTCTGATAACTGTAAACTAAGGGACTAACTTTTGGATGAGGAAGAATAGAAGACTTTTAGCAATATACATACATTTCTGTAGATGAGAAGGTCAATTGCACATGACTTCTCTCAGTGAAAGGTCTATGTTTCTTAGAGGAAATGTGTAAGATAGATATAATATTTTATCAAGTCACACATGAATAAGTGTCAAGGAAATCTGCCCTTTGCATTATACCTTTACCAAAAAGTTTAATTTGTTATTTAAATCTTAAATTTCTTTCATGCTTAATTTGATCCGACAGCAAAGGTATAAGATAGATAAAGGAATTGCTTTACTCTAAGAGAAGTTTTATAATAAAATTTCCTATTGCTGATTTGAGTTCTATTGACACGAAGAAATTTTCTGATACCATTGTTTAATTTGGCAAAACATAAAACAAAACAAAAAGAGAACAAAATCTTTCTTCTGGAAGCTTGGACTATGAACAGTTTGTCTTCATAAACAATATGTTGGAGATTTCATACAACCCTCTACTTTTAAATGGATGACTAAACAAACCTTAAAAAAAAAAAAAGACAACTAAAAACAGGCCAAAATTGTTGAGAAATGTTTTCATGATGAGTAATGAGCAATGTGCAAGAGAAAACAGTGCACTGGAATAATGCTGGACTGTGAGCTATTTTGACTGTAGGGAGACACTCTGTGAGGAAGGCCTTGTACCTACTTTGTAATTTTTTTCTCCATAGTACACTAGACTGCGCACCCACAAAAGAGTCAAATAAGTTATTTTTTTGTATGCTTTCACCATAATTTTAGGATACTTACTTCCTTGTTCTTCAAGAATATATTTAGATAAATTTTTTTTCACCCATATGACAAAAAATGCTACACATCCAGATAAAAAAATTAAAAATAAATAAATTTATTCTCTCTATCTTTTCAAATGTTGTTTAATAAATATTCTAACACATCTGTGCAACTAAATGACATTATATTCAGATAATTAACAATCATGGTAGGCAAATGTCACTGAATTAAATATATGTGATAGATCATGTGCTTGATGGACCACCTGGCAGAGATTTTAAATTCCTGAATGACTTCTATTGCCAATAATAACTCATACATCTCTCTCTCTGCTTGTTACCCATTGCTGGGTCATTAATGGGTCATTCCTATTTTAATAGTTATAATCTTAAAAACGTGTAATATTCAACAATTTTAAAAAAAGTCAATTGCATTTAGTTCAACTTACATCATTATAATAAAGCTGTAAAATCATGATTGAAAATATCATGCATAGATATATATTTTTTTACTATTCTTTGAGAACATCTACCTGAAGATGATCTCCACATAATAGAGTGAAAGTAATAACTTTTAAATTGTGTATGCATAAATAATACTCAAGAAAATGCTATCCAAAGCACCAACTGTTCATTCAACATATTTAATATGAATGCTTCTAGACATCAAAAGAAAAATATCCAAAATAATAATATAAATGATGCCAATAGCAACCTCAGATTGAGTGTTGACACGCAAACTTTAAGTACCAAACTTTACATTTGTTCCAATA